TACCATGGTGGGTAAAAACTGATCCCATGCAGTTAGAAAAATGTGTGTGGGGGTGGGAGTGTTCAAACACATGTTCTGCCACTGGGCGTCTTGGAGTCTTAAAGGCCCCGAATCCTCCTGCAATGATTAGCATGCAGGATAGAACTCCGAAGCTTCTGCAGGGGCGGTGCATGAGCACCGTGGAACAACAGATGGAGCAAAGGCGCTTTCCTTCCATCCATGTGGTTTTTCTGGTGGATCTCTATTGTTGTTTTGAAAAACGACAATACAAAACTGCTCTCAAAGGGTTCTTATCAATGGTTTCCCATCAAGCTGGAGGAGGCGTTGAATGAAATGCCTGTATTCTCCAATTTGTTTCTTTGGATGAAGAGGCAGAGGGAATGCTTATGAAATTCACAAATAACACAGAAATATGTACAACAGCTAATACAAAAGATGCATACAACATTCAAAACAAGTTTGATGGTTACAGACATAACCTTAAAATAACAGAGACAAATGCAAAGCTATGAAATTAAGGAACACAAAAGAAACACAGGAGTGCCAAATAGAGGATATCGGCTTCCTAAGCATACTCGTGAAAAGATTCTTGGAATTACTGGGCTTATTCTCATGTCCTCAGCATGGTACAAATATGCTGTTTTTAAAAGACGAATCCTTGTGACATTGCCTTCATCTCATCCCCAGTCAAATAAGTAGTTTAAAGTCATCTTTAGCTGTTCCAATTTTAGAGTATCCCCCCCCCTTCTTCAACACAATTTTTGTTGTGAACATCATCTATGATGCTTCAACAATATACAGTTGATTACCAGGTCAGTGGCTGGGCTCCTTAGGCTGATGCAGGCATGTTCCTTCCCCTCTTCTTCAGTTGCTGGACACTGCTGTCCATGGATCATTTTGGTTTAGCTGCAGGAGAGATCAGATATCTAGCTTCTGCTGAAGCATGCACTGCTGTCCTACCTGAAGCCTTCTGAAGTATTTGTCAGGTTCTTAAACACATGGCTTGTTGCTCTTTTGAACGATGCTATAATAAACTAGAATAGTACTTTGCTGAACAGTTTAAATTAGGAAGAGGGTTGAGTTTTGCCAGCAGTGTTTAGCTGGTTCTATTGCCAGTGAGCGTACTACAGATTCCCCATAATAAGAGATTCTGCATGGCTGCACTTTCAGAGTCAGAGCATCATGGAAACTGGAAGCCTTGACACAGTGTTCCAGTTCTAGAAGGGGCAAAACAAGCTGAGGCAGAGCTGCTGCTTGACCAGAGATCATCTGGCTCTTCTGGGTACTCTGGATGAAATGGCACTCCCCCTGAAATGAAATGGCAGGTTCGCGATTTGGGCACTTCCCTGGACTCATGGCAGCTTCTGGAAGGGCAGGTGGAGGGGCACCTTCATCTAGTTTTTGCTGATGTGCAGGATAACCCAGTGACAATAATTCATGCCTTCATCATCACCAAGGTAGATTACTGCAATACACTGCAGACGGAATCACCTTTGAAGATACTCAGAAACTGCAGTTGATGCAGAATACAGCTGCCTGCATATTAGGCAGATGAGAATTGTTGCAGCCATGCGATCCCTATATTGCGCATTGTATCAACTTCTAGCTGGCTTCCAGTACAATCCAGAGTTGGTTTTAGTTGTTAAAGTCCCAAATGGCTTGGATCCTAGGTAACGGCCTCCTCTAGGTAGAACCAACTTGTCCAGTTCATTCATCCAGATGTTGAGTTATAAGAACTGAGAGCTTTCCATGGTGGCAGTTCTCCAGAGTGGCGGTGGCTGCCTAACCCAGAAGTGGTGGTATTCTACAGGGTCCTCCACTTTATGAATATATTCCCTCCAGAACTCAGAATGGCACCTACTCATTCTGCTAGACAGTTATTCTGGTTAGTGGGAAAGTCCATGAGCTGCAGCTAATATGTTAGTCTTAGCCAGAAGTCCAAAACAACTCTGTCTTGGAATCTTTTTATATTGAACTGCATTGGCCTGCCTGGTTAATTAATTGGCAAGTGGAAACTTATGCGCACCATCTTGGATTAAGTTTTGAAGTCTGTGGGAGGAATAATTCTTCACCAACATAAAAAGCAACTTTCTTCAACTCCCTCCCACATAGTCTTTCAGAAAAAAAATATTAAGTGAAGCAAACATAAAGCAGATTTATCTGGGGTAATTACCAACGCTACTAAAACACAGTACTGAGATATCTACAGCTGATTTACTTTCTGGTGCTTAAGAAAGAGTAATTTTAACTCCAGATATTGCTGTTTCTGAGGTAATTCTGAATTACTGGTTGTGATGCAATCTATAAACAGAAAGCTATCTGAATATTCTGCCAAAGCAAATTCAGTTTAGGTGAAAATTGATAAGCTTCAAAAACAAAACAGTTTAATCAAACCATCACTGAGTCTCCTGAAACAAAATTCGGGCCTAGAAAATTCTGATACATAGAGGCAGCAATTTGCTCCCAAGAATATCTAGTTATTTTATTGGTTTTTACTAGGAATAACATCAGTGTTCAATATTCCCTACAGTGCGATACAAGAGCATCCTCTAGTGGTTAGTGTGAGGATTAAACCTAGGGTATTTTTAGGGTTAACAATACTCAGGTTTCCCTCATAGTTGGGAGTGACTGCAAGAGTTTAGGTTAGGATAAATATTTGCATGGGTAATATGGTGAAGGTAAACACTTAAGCTTAGATAGACACATTGAAGTCTATCATTAAATTTAGTGTCAAGGTAAACATAAGGGTGATTCTTTCTGGTTGATGATAATCTTAACACCATAAATTTGTTACAGGAGAGAGTGCTTTCTGTGGCTAGGGTTAGATTTAAGGTAAATATATGTATCAGCATAAGGGTGTCTTTAGGATTAGGGTCAGGCTTCTTTAGTTCTATGGTTACATTTAGCGTATGGGTTAGGGTTAGTGTGAAATTTCATGAATAGTGGTTGTTTAATGCCAGGGTTCCCCGCTGTGATGCAACTGAAACATCCATGCCCCTTGTTCCTGTCCCCCCCTGCAACTGCTTTTAAAGGCCTGTCCTTACCATATACGGAGCACCAACCCTTTAAAAAAGAATCCAGCTGAAGAGGATGTCTTGGTAGCATGAGGAAAACAGCAAGGAAGAGAGTTGGAACAGAGCAGTGGAGAGAAGATGGAAGGTAGGAGAAGAAAAAGGAGGACCAGAAAAAAGCATAAGGCACTAAGAAAGCCAGAGGGCCCAGAATGGTGAAGAGTGGGGCTGAGATGGCCGCCTTGGCAGCATCTGGGGCATTGGGAAGAAGGAAAGTACCAAATCTCCAAAGACAAGCACGGGAGGACACAAGCAGCCACTTTCATAACAAAAGAGAACATCAGCCAAAACTTTCCCAAGATGGCTGAGGCAAATTGGAGGGCCAGGAGCAAAGTTCACTGGAGAGGGACCCCAGGTGCTGGCACAACCAGGAGACATGGGGTAGGATAGTGGGTAGAGAATAAGAAAAGAGAAATGGAACTTTTTCTTTTTATAATAAAATCCCAGTTGCAAGGAATTTGTCTACCTGCCTCTGAATGGTGCTATTCTACACTCTTAATGGACTGACGAGAGTTTTCTGACAGATGTCCTCCTGTCCTGGAGGAGGCAATTGATTGAAAGGATTGTGTGTGAGATAAAAAAAACACAGAGGCAGACATATCTCTCCACTCCTTACATTCTTTTCACGTAGAATTCTGAAACCTCCAGGAAAGTGGTTGCTTGCTTGCATAGTTTATTCATTTACATTGCTTGCATGCTGCCCATTTCCACAGACCCTAGGCAGTGAACGATATATACATATAAAATACCCCAAGAACCCCCCATATGCATGTCCTCCACTGCAAGATGGAACAGGAAGTTTTTCAGAGTTTCTGTGAAGTCTAGGAGGTATGAGGTAGGTAGAATTTGCCCCGTGGGAGTTCCAAAGAGTGGGGACTGCCTCCGAGAGCAACCGCTGCCAGGGCCCCATCAGGTAACAATCCTGGAGGGATGGGACCTGAGGGAGTTGACTTTATTTGATCTGATTGGATGGGCAAATGAATACAGGAGAAGGCAGCCCTTCAGATCTGGAGCCACACAGGGCTTCAAAGGTGACAGCCAGAACCTTGGATTACATCTAGAAGCTGAAGTCACAACTTAACCCCCAACATAACCTCTGGCCTTTCATGCTTGCATCCTGATGTTGAACACAAGTATGTAAGTCATGTGGTTTGTACTATAATGCAGATTTTGTCATTTCCTACCCCTCTGTCCTGTCACACACATTATGGTCAGATGTTTCAAGAACTGAAATTCTCAGAGGGTCACCATAGCTGCAGTTGACACTGCCTGTCACAACAGGGCATGAAAGTGGAAGGAGGGATATATCCCATAATTGTCAGGGACACTGAGAGCCTAGGGATAGTGAAACACAGCCGCAATTCACAGAACAAACGCAAAAAAAAAAATGAGTTCTATCTTTAGTCTTCAGAGGACATGGAAGAAGAAGCAGGAACATCAATTGAACTGCGTTACAGTATTACTGACAATAAAACATTGCTTCTTATGCTGTCAGTGGAAGACAGCAAATAGATTAGCTTTTAAATGTTCAAGCAAAGAACCTATCTGGACCACAGAAGCTTGCCCAATAAGTCAGGTTTCTCTCCAATCAGATGCATAGATGGAAATGGCTGCAGATTTCATTTTCCTCTCAGAAGATCACTTTAAGACCACCTGCTGAAAACAAGAAGCCAAAAATGGGGCAGACTTTGAGTTGGTTCAGGGCTGTGGTCTCATTAGCTGGGTTCACATACCATGCCAAGCAATAACATGCTTTATTAGATTTTTATTTAGGATACTGTATGAACCCATCTACTATGGCTCATTCAACAAAGTAAGTTTAAAACAAAATATGACTTGCATCACTTCTTCAAACTGGATTCAGACATCCCCCCCAATACAGGGATCTTAGAAAAATTTGTCTAGGAAGCAAAGTAACATTTGAAGGCAAAAGTCTCTGAAATGCAAAAGTTAACAATTGCATTTTTGATGCAAGCCAATTATTTACAGGAAATTTTAGGAATTATTCAACTACAGCAGCAATGAATTCAATGTTTATTTTAAAAAAACACAAACTAGAATTGGGTCTGATTTAATTGAATTAACTCTGATGGTACATTTTAAACCAGCAGTTTCATGCATTTGACATTTTAATTTGTTCCAGTTGGACATATTATGGTTTCCCTGCTTACCATTTTTCCCTCCACTTATGAATGAGGATAGGCATACATCTGATGAGGTGGGCTTTAGAGCTCACGCCTTAATAAACATGTTAGTCTTTAAGGTGTCACAAACTTTCTTGGATCAAAAAGTATTCTGAACTTCCCAACATGATTGTCCACGAGGGACAAACGATGAAACATGCATCTCAGTATTCTAATGCAAACTCCACTCCCTTTGTATTTGTCAGTGGAATTTCCATCCTGACATTATAGCCCACATTTTGGCATCATTGTGACTAGCTGCAGGTGCCTCTCCTTCCCTCTGCTTCGAAAAATTGAGCAAAACTTTTGGTGTAGAAGAATATCTAATTCCTTTTACACTTTTATACTAAGACTATCTGATATGTTTTCAGGAAAAATGACCATGTGTGTGTATCTTCAATCTACGGCAGGATGAAGATCTCTTCACTGAAGGTTATGAACCATAATATACCACACTGATCCAGTGTGGGTTGATGACAGATGTTTTCTAGGACTGAGAAAGAATGACTGGCCCTAAATCACCCATCTGGCTTCTGTACCTTGTTGTTGTTCAGTCGTTAAGTTGTGTCCGACTCTTCGTGACCCCATGAACCATATCGCG